GACAGAGAAATTAAGACGGATAAAATGCAAGAGTGCGCGCCAGGGAGTGGCAAGTCTCTTTTCTCTATGGTGGTTTCTTTAGTTTCATGGCAGTGGAGGATAGAATTGATGCGGATCTCTCAAGCGAGCTCGACGCAGGAAGACTAGAAGCCATGAGTGCGAGCACTATGCAAGGAATTGCATAGCTGATGATGTTTTGACAGATGGAGCTACTGTCAACCATCAATCTATTGGACAGCAAATCAGGGATTGCAAAAAGCATAGACAACGAGTGTATGTGGAAACACTAGGAGGTTGTTCAGAAGTGCAGAGGGCAAAGGCTGATAGTTCAGAGGAAAAGCTCCTAGCAAAGAAAACCGAGGACGTTGATAGGACAAACAATGAGTTTTCTATTGCTCCAATGACTGGTTGTGCGAGGTGATGCATGCCAGTCAAGGGCATCCTAGGCAAGGAGTGCGGGACATCCAATCAGGGGGTGTCGGATACCTTGGTTACACAAGTTCAAGCATAGCAAGTGAAGACATCTGAGACAGAAAGCGTGGAAGAGATCTGTGAGAGATAGGAGTAGAGGCTCTCTCCAAATCAGAGAATGGTGTGAGTTGAGTTGATGATGTAGAATTCCCTCCTCCTCTTGTATCTCTAGTGTGTTATCTCTAGCTTCAAGGGATGCAAACGTCTCAGTGAGGAGATACAGACTATGCTGAAATTTGGGCGTGACAAGATTAGCAGCAGTAGGTGCTATTGTGGATCACCTCACATGGGTTGAGGGGGTGATTTGTTGGATATCAACCTAATGGTAGCTCTACTATGGGAAGATAATAAAGGTGGTTCTCCCACTCCACTTATCCCACTAGCTAGTGGATGAAGCTAGTGGAAGGGGTAGATGGTAACCAATCAAAGTCCTCTCATTTTGTGTATAAATGAGGTGAGGGTGTGGAGCTTGAGAGTGAGAAAGAACAAACCAAAAGAGTGAGAGATGTGAGGTAAAGAGACCGTCTTTCTCGGTGGACGGGTGAGTGGCTGAGTGAGGGTAGTGTGAGCTCCTTCTCTATTGTAATCTTTCTGTAATCTCTCCATTGTTATAGTGATAACTGGTTACTCTCCCGTGGACGTAGGCATTAAGGCTGAACCACGTTAAATATGGTGTCTCCTTGAGTGTGGGTGTGTTTTTCTGCTTCGTATAATTTTTGGAAGGTCTTGGGCAGAATCTCCGATCCCTAACAACTCTTTCATCTTCAACTACTACAATTTATAGTCACTGTTGCCACGTCTGACCACCACCCGTACAACCTCATTGCCATGGCTTCCACCTCACAACCCCCACCAGTGCAATCATCACCTTGCAGTTTCTCATCATGATCACCACTTTCGAAGCCTTATTCTGTAGATTTATTTTCAACCTTCTTCCGCAAGTTTAACGTTTTGTTCAGCAAACCAATGTTGAACAAATTTTGTTTGTTCAGTGGGACACAACACAACCGAACAAATGACAAATGGGCCAATATTCATTAATTAGTCATGTTCAGTTATAGAAGCGCAGACAAACTTAAATTGTTGGTGTTTTGTGAGAGGGTAATTTATATGAAAATTGGGCCGAGCTGGGCCGTTATGGGCCTCAGTGCGAAGGGCTGAGTAAAAAGGATATAAAGTTACTCCGATCTTGAAGAGGTTTAAAGTTACTCCGGTCCCAAGGAGGTTAGCTCGGTTACCATACTAAAACTTATACCAGTTATGGCGCAGTATGGTTGGCTCGGTCTAAACCTTGCTAAAAGTTAGCTCGGTTTAGACTTACCACGGTTTGTACAGGAGGAACTGAGGTAAGGGCAGTAAAAGGACGAACCGAACTAAGGATAGTTCGATCTATTCTACGGCTAAGCATAGCCATGCGTACCTCGGCCACATTGGAGTCCGACCATGGTAAAACCATCTCACTTGGTTTAAACAGTGAGGGGGGTGTTGAAGGATAAGCATTATCTTTCAGGAGTATGAATCCTAGGAGGACTCTACATGGAGGAGTAAGAGTCCTACTTGGATTGTGCCACACGGAACCTATAAAAGCTCACCAATATCACCTATGTAAACTCAGTCGTCTTCTTTTGACCCTATGGAGTATTGATGGAACAGTTCGGCTAAGCCGAGGTTAATGCCAGCTCGGCGGTTTAGCTCGGCTATACCGTTTATTATGCGGTATGAGTTTGTGGAAAGCTGAGTTGGGCATATCCTAGTTTGCCTAAGGAATTCACAAAGTAAGGGCTGAACAGGGAATCTTAGGCCAGTTTCTACAATGGAAAGTGCAGACTTGATCAACAGGATTATACGAGAAGGTTTATTTCTTTCCCGTACAATTGGCGCCGTCTGTGGGAATTTCAGACAAGAACAAGACCTCTTGATCAAGCTTTTCCTCTTTAAAAGCAATGGCACACAACAAAGATTTGCCGCAGTCCGCCATCGACGGACAAACACCAGAGGGGGGTGCAAGACGCGAAGGCCTACCTTCTATCCCTCCCATAGCGGACTTAGAGCCACAACGTCAAAATCCCAGGAGGGATGCAAGGGAAAGGAGGCGGACTAACAGCCCCTGTCACTCTCGTTCTCGAAGTCCTGACAGACAAAGGTGGAGGATTGATCCTCAAGTTCTAGAGGACTGCGTGAAGGAGCAAGATGAATTAATAAGAAAGATGGCGGCGGACATGGAGGCCATGAAGTGCCAGATAAATGGAAAAGGAGTAGCGACTGGAGAGGGCCCCTCGTCACTCAGAAGACCGTGGAAGGCATTCCACACCATCACAAGCAGAGAGTAGAAGCCTCAGGACAGACGATACTCAATCCAGAACCACCAGAACTCGTTACTCCAAGTCTGAGAGAACGAGATCATTGAGGTCATACACTGAGCGAAGTACTTATCGACCCTCGCGCTCGCACCAGACATCATCCAGGCAGACAGAGTTACCAAGATCATCCGATTTGCTAATCATGCTGGAAGAAAAGGCACGATAGAAAGAGGATACTGGGGCGCGCAACCCTCGCAGGGTATCTGCCCTTCAGCGGTTGGCTCTTCGGACGCATGGAAGCGTCAAGGTTGGAATGCCGTTACCACGCCCTACCTACGAACCAACGGACAAAGCGTTAGCAAGGCTGCAGACCTCGCTGTTCGTTCCGACAATTGAAAACGCGCCCCTACCTTCAGGCTTCCTTCAGCCCAAATTCACCACGTACGAGGGGAAGACGGACCCCTACATACACCTAAGCCACTTCCGCCAGGTTATGGCGGTATATCGGCGAAACGAGGCTTTGATGTGTATCTTCTTCCCATCAAGCCTTGGTGACCTAGGCTTGACTTGGTTCAAAAAACTTCCAGAAGGCAGCATAGCCTCCTGGGCGCAATTGGCGGAGACGTTCGTCACAAGGTTCAGAACGAACACCAAAACCCCGGTGGAGATTGACCAGTTACTCTCCATCGACATGGGAAAAGAATGGATAAATTACACTCATCTCCCTTAAGATTAAAAAAATTACAATAAACTTTACAAGTTTCACCTAATTATACTGGATTTCATCAATATTTTAATTCATATAATACTTAATCCTCTTTTCATTAAATAAAAAAATAAAAAATAAAAAAAATTTAGTTATATGAATAGGGACTCAATCACCATGACACCGCCCCTCACCATGGAGGCCTTGATGGAAAGAGTGCATCAGCACATCAGGGTGAAAGAGGATGGCGCCCGTGCCAAAACAAAATCTGGCACGACCGCAGTACCAGATAAAAAGACTATAACAAAGATCAACACGGTAGAACATCCGAACAAAAACGGACGAGGCAAGCGAAACAACGGTGAGGACCAGGATAAAAGATAGCTGAGAGTCCGCACTGCCATAACCACGATATTCAAGAAACCGATCTACTGGATTTTGAGCAAAATACGCGATGAACCTTTCATCAGATGGCCAGCTAAGCTAAGAAAAGCACAGAAAGACTACAACGAAAGATCACGATGCACCTTCCACAAAGAAAAGGGGCATCGTACTGAAAATTGCATGCCATTAAGATAGCACCTGGAGGAGTTGGTGGCAGCTGGTCACCTGGATAAATACATTGAAGGAAGGACGCAACCAGCCCCCCAGGACCACAATAACCCCAATGGAATGCCAATTGATGCCCCACCTTAAGGAGTAATCAATATAATACATGGAGTATTCGAACCTGAGCGCGTATGCGAGCTCAAAGGGTTGATCAAGAAGGCTGAGCACTTAAGGGAGGTACTAAGTGCCCAAACTACCATCAAAAAGGGGAGAACAGAGGCCAAGAACGTCATGTCTTTTTCAGACAAAGACTTGGAAAGAATATATTGCCCTCACAACGATGCACTGGTCATCACCCTCCGCATCAAGGACTACGACGTCAAACGAATTCTGATAGACCAAGGTAGCTCGTGTGAAATAATGTGCTACGACACCTTTAAACAACTGAAATTGGAGGACAAAGACCTGGCACCAGCTGTATCCCCCCTGATCGGATTCAACTTAATGCCAGAATGGCCAGTCGGCAAAATTATCCTGCCAATCAGGGCAGGGAGCGTAACAAAACAAATGGAATTTTGGGTGTTGAAGGTCCCTTCCACTTACAACATAATCTTGGGAAGAACATGGCTCCATGCCATGAAATCAGTAGCATCATCCTACCATCAAGTAATGCGGTTCCCCAACGATGCCAGGGTAATTAAAGAGGTCTTTGGAGACCAGATTATGTCCAAGCAATGCTTTGTCACGGTTAATGGCAGCCGCACTGCCAAGGGATATGTGCATTCGGTGGAAGAACCTGAGAGCAATGAACTATTCGCAGAAACAAATTTTCTTGTTCATTCCTAAAGGTATCCAACTGATCTCATCAAAAGAGCTAAGATTGACTCAGTGCTGGATTGGCATCACTCCAATCTACGCCGTGGTGAAGGTGCCTTGTATTTGATCACCAATGATATTCTTTATTTTTTTTATATCATAAATTGACAGTGATAGTTTTGGGAGCAACAGTAAAATGTGCTTTTATACAACTCTTTAGTGATTTTTTTGGTAAAAAATGTTTTGTAAAATGCTCAGTGCATCTTCAGAGTATCTTCAAATTACCTATTAAAAAATAACCCGCCAATAGATGCCGTTATGTAGTTACATTTTGTGTAAACATACGATTCTGCAAAGAAATTTTTTTTCTTCTTGCCTGGTCATCTACTGTGGTGGTCCTGTGTTGAAGTCCTAAATTTCTTTATCAATTTTTAAGTAATTATAATTTTTTGGTTTAACAATTTCATCTCTCTTTTTCGTCTCTAGTTTATAAATATCCTTCCAATAGATGCCATAACATAGTTACATTTTATGTGTGGTTGATAATAATATTACTCTGCAATTTGTGCGTGTGTGTGCGCGCGTGCACATCAGTCAGTGATGATCCAGAAAAAACATTTGTTTGTCAATTTTAAGTAGTTATTTTTTTGGTTTAGCAATTCCATCTTCCTTTTTCCTTTCTAGTTTCTAAAGGTCTTATGTCTCTTTTCTTTATGCTTTCCTTTTCAGTTACATTTCTTCAGAATACTGTATTTGCACCTGTACTTCGCATTCAACCAAATCCACATGTAGCTGCTGAAGCTGAGAAAATTTTGTCCTCATCTCTTGAAAAGATTGAGACATTTTGGCTCAAGGAAAATGAGCAGTTTTTGCTGGGAAACACCCAGCCATCTATGGCAGATCTCAGCTTGGTTTGTGAAATTATGCAACTAGAGGTGAATGGATTTAATCTATGCCGGCAACTTGGTATCGATATTTAATGTGTTTGTGTGTGTTTGCAGTCATGTATATTTAATAGATGGAGAAATTTATCAAGTTGGAATTGACCTAGCCAAATTATATATATAAAAGAAAAAACGGTCTGCTTTGAAGTTGAAGAATAATAAGATTGATGGTTGAAGCCATTGAAAAACCAAGATATTAGGCCTGCACAAGAAAGTTGAAAATTATTGTAAGATGTCATTATTAAATAAAAACTAACTATGAAATTCTTTTGGATTCAGGTTTTGGATGAGGAGGATCGCAATCGAATATTAGGCCCACACAAGAAAGTTCAGCAGTGGATCGAAGATACAAAGCTCGCAACAAGACCTCATTTTGAGGAAATTCACAGACTCCTCTTTGAAGTCAAAGCAAACCTACAAGAGCAGCGGTTGTTGGGAGCTAATACTGAGACAGAGTCTGGCTTATAAAATGCATTGCGGTCCAAGATGTGAAAACACTGTTGCGTTTATATGTTATAAATCTGTAATATTCCCTTGGAGTGCCCTATTGCTATCACATTGTGATATCAAAATGAGGACAGGC